ATATGCAGTTCAATACCAAGATTATTGAGCTTCGTACCGGCCCACAGGCCCCTGCTGACGTGTATACCAACAACTTGGCTTGCAATTAACCAGCGTGTCATAAGCTTAAGAACCATCAGGCCCTTCCAAATCATTGGCGGTGTTACAGGCCAGACCCCTGCCGCAGGCTCCGGCCTTTTAAGTAGTTTAATCAAGCTACAAGTCGGTGATTTATACCTTGCCGAATGGAAGCATTCATGGCGGGCCTCAGGGCATTACGCAGGGAGGCGAATACATGAAATGCTTGTTCGCATGAAATGCTTGTTCGCCTGATCCATCTTGTAGTTTGCAGTACGCTTGGCTGAACAGCGTTCAAAGTAATCAAACCAGTCACTGGGGCCTGAGGAGACTGGTGATAGACGTAGAGATATGCTGTGGATTTGAGTTGAGGGCTCTAGTGTAACTTGGACCCGGATGTCCGGCAATGGTCCACGTAGCTACAGCCTACATGTAAGAGTCCACTCTAGGCCATCTAGACTCCTGTACGACAATGAGATGGACCAGGGCTTCGATAGTGATAATGCAGTTGTATGTTCTGTCACGGCAATAATTATTGAAAGACTCGAGGATGCGAACTTATCCCGAATAGCATCAAAAGCCGTCATAAGTGAATTTCTAATATTCGGGGATTTCGGGGCCATTTTCAGAGCTCACAAACTTTTTAGGAACCCCTGGTCCCTTATTTACCTACAGTATCATAGTATATGGACCCAGAGTAGGTTTAATGCCCTCAAGTTCGTGAGTGATTTGACTGTATTGATTGATGTATCCTCCAAAGTCCAAATTTGACAAAGCTGACCACTCAAGCAAGTTATTGGCCACATACGACCCCTAAGCAGATAGCTGGTATCACTCGCGGGAAAGGGATCTGGAGTCTCAACAGTGAGCAACCTGGAAAGCATTCAATGGCATCCGGATCGTAAACAGTAAGGAAGCGGACAGGTTTCTGTTCTTGTAGTAAGTCTTAGACACTCCTCGCTGAATGCCTTTTGTATTCTGGAGCCCTTGTCCCCAGCTCTCATGCTCCTTTCACAGCTTGGAACAAATGAAGCGTGAAAAGAATAAAAATAGAGTACCCATCTTATTCACTTTCACTTCGTTTCTCTGATTTCTCTAGTTTGGTATCCGTTTATGATCTATCATACAACGAATGGCCCGCAAAAGGGGCGACCCCGAAAGAAACGAAACACATCACAAACATGAAGTCTAGATGGGGCAAATCCTCCTGTAATACCTCATTGCCACGAGGGTAGTGCAGGTTCCCGCAACGGTTCCATCAGAAGCAACATGTCAAATGTGGGTATGGCGGGAAGACCTCGTCCGTGGGAAGCTCCGGTACTTGACGTGTCGTAAATAATGGGACTGTTGGTATCCCTATCACAGGGAAGTTGGTTCGAACCGTAGGGTCCTGGGGGTGACGAAGTATCAATATCTCTGTATTGATTGATTCTGCGTTATGTGTGTAAAAGGGAGATTCCAACCGTAGGTTGGTTGGGTAGTCGCGGTCTAATTGTACCACCTCGAGGCGGCCCATGCTCTTGCCCTTATCCGCGGTCGAATTGGACTTCCAATCCGACAGGGACCTTACTACCTTAGCCCAGAATCATGACATCAAAATCATGCTATGGGCAGTTACGATTCCATCAGGGCGGCTTGGAGAGGCCTCGTCTGGGTGCCTCCGTCTGACCGTCATATCAACTCAGATGAGCTTGTTGTGCATAGTGTTTCATCTCCTGACTGTAGAAACCCCCGTTTTGCGCGAGAAGCAATTTGGAGACCAAAAAGTAGAGTAGCCTCTGTTACAACCATAGTATGAATGACTGTTGACACTCATCATTCTCTACTGGTTTGTTTAGGTACAAACGGAGATCGGGCGCTCAAGTAGACCATCTCGATGGAATCAAAGTTTTGATTTGGTTCATTATCCGAAATTCGCTCACACTTTCATCATTTCGTACTCTTGTTCTTCATATGAGACACGGCTGTGGCACTTGGGATGTCACAAATCCTTCGGGGAGAAAGGGGAAAACTGGAGAGGAAGGTGTTCATGAGACAAAAGACCTGATAGTTTTTCCGCCCCTTGTCCGGCTTTGCATCCCCCTCATATCCGTCAAAATCCCGTGACTAACCGCTAGGACCAACCGGTAGACTTGAACTACGGAGTAGCAATTGGTACTATGGTAGTAGGTAGACCAACATGGGGGCCAGCGCACTGTCCCCGAGCAAAAATAGCGGACTGATCCGACGAAAAGTCGAGAGATGAAACAGACGTCAAGACCTGAATGTGGGTCCTAGAGAAGAGAAGAAGAAGAAAATTGCCTTGACCGTTGACGTGCTTGAGTATGGCCTGCAACTTGCAAGAAGAGACCACGGCGATGGTTCGACTCTTTCCTATTACCTCAAGTAATGTGGTGATGTGATGTGATCGCCGCAGCCTGTAGAGACCCGGGGGAGATTCCTGACATGGAAGAAGAAAGGAAAGAAAACGGCATTGCCGGCCAAGCTACAGAGGTCGAATAAGCTTGTATGCCAAGGTGGATATGCCGTTATGTCCACGTCTTCCTAGAGCTATATTCTCTAAGACTAGTGCTTGGATGCCAAGGTTAGCGGGGGTGAGGCGAGGTATCATATCAGATAACCCATGGCAAAATATGCAGACCCGCGATAGCGCACTCAATTAAGGTGTGACCAAGAACCGATGGCTTGGTTCCTAATGCAGACATTCTAAAGAAGGAGAGTTAGGAGAGTCAAGCTGCCAAGAATGTCGGTGATGGATTTACTTTTCGATCGTCTGTTATATCAGATCACCCACAGTCTTTACGTTCTAAGTTGACGATAATGAGCATCTGCAAGTCGAGACAGACCACAGATCTTTCAGCTTTTGCCGCCCTTCTCGTGATGCACACAGCTGTCACGGACCAGTGCACCCCTGTCGTCAGGAGTAAGAAATGGAAAGTGGGAGCGAGCTGGGGTCCGGCTAATGTTCCCCCTTTTCCAGACTACGGTTGCGAGGTAAAAATACAACCTATTGATCTTACGAGGAGTTTCCATGACAGCACAAATTCACGTGGGAGGTCATCTCTCCAATGAAAGGTCCCTGACTCTGGTCGAGTATGGCAGAAACGTGTGGCTGGGTTGGAAAGCGGGTCGTGTTATGCCATGCTCGGACTGCCAAGAGGTGATGGTCGACGTCCTGAAGTTCTGGAACGCGCGTCATCGTGAAAGGTCCCGGACTCCTGGCCGTCCATCACTCCAGTCTCCAGGGCTTTCAGCCGACCCGACGAGAGCCTGAGAGGAGGGAATTGAGGCAAAGGCTCAAGAGGGATGGTGGAAAAACTGGCACATCCTGGGCAATCTCCCGAGGAAAGGGCAAGGGCGGTGTCAAGTGCGACAAGGGAGTCGCCGGGCTTGGTCCCATGCTGTCACTTGTCTGGGACTATAACCCCGTGAGAGCGGAGGAGATCAATGGGGAAAGGAGCCGTGTGGGGGGCGGAAGTTTTCTGCCCATCAGAGTCCAAGTTTGCCTCTGTGGAAGACTCGAAAAGGTGAGAAAAGAGCGTTGGACCCATCGAATAACAGCTCTGATCAAGGTTTGAAGAGAATATGAGCGCAACGGTAGCGTCTGAGCTTCTTTCCGTTGCCTGTATATAATTGGCTATATGCCGCGGTACCTTGTCCCTTTGGAGAGTCTTGGTGCGCGATGGCGTCTCGAAGGTTGCAACTGATGCAAGGTACCAGTTGCCAAGCTCTCAACCCCCCCCCACCATCCCGTAGATTCAGAAAAAGAACATTGTGGATCCTGGCAGATCGGGGAAGGAGACAAAGTGGCACAGTACCTGTACTACGGAGTAGGTCCTTCCTTCCAGAGACAGAGTTCTGGGAGTTGAACCATATGTGACGGATTAACGGCGGTTGATTGGCCGAAAGCCCTAGTCCCGATGGCCCACATGCACGTTACCGGCTCCTGCCAGCTGAGGCTATTTCCTTCTCAACCCCCGGTCATTTGCCCTTCTCGCACCTCACCTCGTTGAGATCCTCAACCCTATTGTCTCCAAGAACAGACATCAATCAATTTACCTCGTGGCATCCGGATCCATATGGATTGTAAAACTCCCGGGAGTCATCAAACCCTCAGAACATACACGTGTTTCCGTAGGCCAAGTGCCCAAGTGGGCTGAGAATCACACTACGAGGCGCAATGGCCGCACGCCCGCGACGACACATCTTCCCTCATTCTACTCGACTGCCGCACAAGATCAGCGATGGCCCCAAGGACGCATGATGATCCCGGCGAATCCATCGTCTTGCAGCATGTCAGTCATCTTGGCATCCTCATAGACCCATGACACCCAAGCATCCAGACTGGAGGAAAAGGTCAAGCCCAAACTTGGGAGTTGGGATGGCGTCAAGTCATCCTAAGACGTGGCTGCTAGCGTGTTTGGGCCTCGTGGAGTTGAGCCGCTGCCCATCACACGGCCACGTCTCCTGGCGGGCCCGTCGACTCCTCTGCCCATTGGTCCACGACCTCCTGACGGCTGTGAATCAGAGTTCAAACGACCGCGGAGACCTCCCGTCTAGTGACCCTGGTCTGCGGGTATTATTTTGTTTGCCCATGGGAAGGTATGCAGGGGCCCAACCGCTCTCTACTACTCTCCTACATGGCGCCCCACAACGACATCGATGGCAACGATGGTGTTAGTCTTTCGAGGCGTCCCTTTTAGGGAAGCCATGATGCCCAAGGAAGCAGGCTTCGTCCGTCTACTCTGTTTCTCCAACCAACTTTGTTCTCTTGTCTTTGGATCTGTAGGCTTGGGGCCATTTTCATTCTTTGCCCTGGCGGTTGTAATTTTCCCCTGCCCTGGCGGCCATATTCAACTACACGTCTAATTCCTATTCACATTGCCTGTTGTCGGATCTGCCTTGTCTATACTACCTCACAGGTCCAGCACACTTACATCGAGATGGCTTTTTCAGAGAGATCATGCCCCGTCTCGGGCTCAGTAGGAGGAGGTGTTTGCCCAGTCGGCGCCAACAAATCAGGAAGGCAGAGCAGATCAAGCAGTCGTATGGGCCCACGAGGATGTTCGTTCTCGGGGTTCTCCCAGCCTGGCGATATTCACACAGCATTCGATGTAAGCCTTGAACAACCTTCCTCATACGCTCGAACATACTAACATCATGCCAGATCCCTCGAGGAGTTGATGCAGAGGAGTGGCTCCGAATGAGGTATGCTTAGGTCCTGCTGCTCATCTTCCACAGCCAACTGACTTGACTGTTGCAGAGAGCGGAAATCCATCAACCATGTTCTCTATTCCCAATACCCGTCACAGCAAGAGATCGATTCGGTCAAATCACAAGCAGAGTTGGATGCCTTCAATGTCAACGAGGCAGATCTGTTGGCAGTCGCACTCGGAGCGCCAGCCAGGCAGGTGATGCTAAGAGCAGAGGAAATCGGTACTCAGACAGGTTGGAAAGACGGTTTTCTCAGCATAGAACATGGCTTCTGCCCACCAGACTACGACGAGGCGGCTGGCGCTCTGGCCAGATCACCAGGCCGCGTCTGGATCGACCTTGCCGAACGCATGCCCGGATGCGTTTCCCGCGGCCGAGTCAGAGAGTCAATCGCCGCTGCACCTGTCATCGAGGGCACGGCAGATGTCATTCCCGATCAGGCCCTCTGGGCGGCCCTTGTGTCGCTCGGCATGCTCTGCTCCATCTACCGCTTCGAGCAGAAGTACGACGGTCACGATGGGGTGAACGCATCGACGAACCCCACAAAGTTGAAGCTGAATTGCAAGATGGGCGACGACTTGGGTGAGGAGCTCGTCGGCATACCTCTCAGCATTGCTCTGCCCTACTTCCAAGTATCCCGCCGGATGGGCCGGACACTCCCTCACCTGACGTTTGTCGACCAATCTTCATACAACCTGAAGATCAAAGACGTCACATCGACATACCCCTACGTTGCTCGTTTCGACAACATGGAGCTTAGATGGCCCATGTTCGGTGAGCGCGCCGAAGTAGCCTTCCTCAAGGGTGTTGCAGAGACTTCAGGTTAGTGGTGTCACGTCTTCTGGCATTATTCCTTATCATTTGTTAGTTACTTCGTTGCTAATTTGGCGGTTAAGCTTCCTTCCAACACGGGCCCGACGCTATCGCAGCATGCCAAGAACATGTCATGAACCGCAACAACGAAGGCCTCCTCCACGAGATGATCCGCCTAAAGGAGATCCTCGAGCGCATGCCCAACGCCTTCCACTCCATTTCAACAAATCCCAACGCCGGTGAAAACTACGTGCCTGTCCAACAATGGGTCCGCTGGGCCAAGTTTTCCGCTCCTCTCTCAAAGCGATGCCCTGCCTCCTCAGGCCTGCAGTTCCCACCCTACTTGGTGATGGATGCTTTCTTGGGAAGAAACAAGTAAGTCGAGCATCGTCATTGGGATTCTGACAATCAGTCACTAACCCTATTCTCAGCTATACCTCTTTCCTGGGTGCCGAGGGTGTTCACCTCCGTGCCTGGTTCCCGGCCAACCTGCGCGCCTTTATTGCGGCTATCGAGTACCACTACCGCATCCCTGAATACGTCCAAAAGTCAGGCGACCCGCGTCTCATGGGCGTTCTCGATGGTATCGTCGAAGCTTATACCGGTGAACGTGGCTTCATGGGAGTGCACCGCTACAAAGTCTTTGGCATCCTCGAAGTCGCAGCCAAAACTGGCCGAACTGAGACCAATGGCGCATCGGGTGCGTCAGACGGCGAACGCCCTTGGGAAGAAACCCATCGCCAGTTCTCAGAGGCAATGAAGGAGCGCCTCGAGCCCTATCGAGGTAAATTGGCAATTGAGCCGCACCAAATGCGCGGCACTTTCGAAGAATGCCGCTACGTCACCCGCGTATTGAACAGGTCATTTGTGGATTCTGATCCATCACGCTCAATCGCAATGGTCACGCTCGATATCCGGGAGACCGGCATCACGTTCGCACCAGGTGATCGCCTGGCCGTGATGCCCTTGAACGGGTGGGAGGAGTGCGCCAAAGTTATCGCCGCTTTGGGCTTGGAGGAGCACATCGACGCTCCTGTCGAAGTCAACGGAATCTGGGCTCGCTTCGAGATGCATCTGGGGTCTGTCAGGAGAACCGCAACACCTAAGCTGACAGTCGGCGACATCCTCCGACGTGGTCACCTTGCCCCAATCACCAAGGAGATGGCCCTCAAGATTCATGGTATGCTGCATGCATCCTCCAACACCGTCTTGCAGGTCCTCAGCACGGATGAGTGGCCCGTCAGAGGCTCTTTGGGCGACCTCTTGCAGGACGCTGTCACGGACACGCCTCCCCAAATCTGGGATAGAGTGTTCAACCTTGACATTCTCGCATGGCTTGCGGATCTCGTTCCCCTCGAGGTCCCCCGCACCTATTCCATCGCAAGCTACACGGAAGAACTCCTGCCAGAAACCGTTGACCTCGCGGTGTCCCGTTCGGAATACAAGCTGTGCTCTACCTTTTCAAGAGGCAAGGAAATTTCCCGCGCCGGTGTTTCTAGTGGATTCCTGAACCCGCCCGTTGAGATGGGCGACATTGACTCAGACGACGAGATCCTCATTGGCGTCTCCCGTCCAGCAGCCTTTCACCTCCCGCTTGACCCCATGGCACCCTGCGCTTTCTTCGCCGGCGGAAGCGGCATCGCACCCTTCCGCAGTTTCTGGCAGGCTCGTCTTACACAGAGCGGCCTGTCGGGTGGCAAGAACCTTCTTTACCTCGGAGTCCAGAACCGTGAGAAGTTCTGTTTCGAGGAGGAGCTGCGACAGTACGTCAACGCAGACTTCATGGAAGTCCACGTCGCCTTCTCAAGGGACTCTCGTGGTCTCGCTTACGAGGGCCAAGATCTAGTCGAGAAGCACATCCCCCCTCGCTACATCGACACATTGATTGTCGAACAAGGTCTGCAGGTCTGCGACCTTGTCATGTCTAAGAAGCAGGGAGGTCTCGGCGGCTACCTCTACGTCTGTGGATCCGTCTCCGTGTTCGATTCCGTTATGAATGGAATTAGGAAGGCAATCTACACCTACAGAACAGCCACAGAAAAGGGAGTCGACCTGATTATCGACAAGGCCTTTGCGGAGAGACGCTTCATGCTCGATGTTTTCATGACGCCCAAGCCCCTGCCGTGCAACCTGCCGACGATTCCCTTGTCGGAATTGGCAAAGCACACAGGTCACCGCCCCGGGTCTCGCATGTGGATCGGGGTACACGGCAGTGTCTACGATGTCACCGACTTCTGCCCCATGCACCCCGGCGGAACGCTCATCATCAAGTCCAACGCGGGTGTTGACTGTTCCAAGTCATTCGACAATCTCGCACACACCAACAACCCTGAAGTCTCTAGTCTCTTGACGAAATACTTTGTTGGGCACTTGACCCCCAAGCCTGACTACGGCAGTGATGAGATATCCGCTTTGCACGATCTCTGGTCGGCGTACCTCCGATCCACCGTCGAAACTCTGGTAGCCCATCAGTTTGAGATGTACGAGATCATGGGCGCATCCCTCGAGTCTAACTCGTCACATGATCCTGCGGGCAGCAACAACATCTGGCTGCGCGAGAGTCTGCCCAACATTATTGCTGTCCGTACGTTTTATGGTTACCAGAGTCGATTGCTCCAAGGCGGCTTCTCGGCTCTTTTCGGCCACAAGCTCCAAGAGCTCGTCCTCAAGCTATCGTTCGGTGTCGCCCGTGCCAATGGCCCGGCCGCTGACACAAAGCTACCCGACGTCTTGGGCACCGTGGCGCGCGCAAAGACGAGCGGGGACGCGGCGCACTGCACCAAAGAGGTCGCCCTCGTCGGTCAATTCGTTTGCGACGCTGACGCCTCGCTTCGCTTCCAAGAACGCGGTGTCTTTGCCTACGCCGCCCGTAGCGTCGAGCTCGATATTGCCCTTCTTGAAGACCTCCGCCAAGAAGCATGCACCGGCATGGACGCCTTTGATAGCATCGCAACCTCCATCAAGGACTCGTCCGATCCGGATGTCGAGAACACCCGCCTCACTGCCCTTTCCACGTTCCTCCTCCAGGTTCTCGAGCGTATGGCCCGTCACCTCGAGGTCTTCTACGCCCAGCTTGCCCGCTGCTCCGTCTACCAGCCCAAGCTCGAACAGAACCCGGCCCGGACCCGCTGGGCCCTCGTCCGCCGCCGTATCCGTGACGGAAGCCTCTTTGTGCTCGCCACCAAAGCGGAACTCAACCCGAGCATGCTGGAGCAGCCGACCTCGGCGCCGTATTACATGTCAAGAGCAAACCCGAATCAGAACATTGACTTTGACCGGGTCATGGCGCAGGTACAGTCCAGCTTACATGCTGGGGCCGGGCATGACGCCTCGTCCCCTGCTTACCACGGGCAGCAGCAGCAGCAGCCTCTGACCCTCAACGCTGTGCACCAGGCCCGAGGTCGCAGCACAGGCGATGTCAGCGCGGTCGCGAGTCGCGAAAACGCAGGCGCGCTGCGGGCCATGAACAGTTTCGTCGAGAAGAATAGCCGTGCCATCCGTAGGCTGAGTAAGATGCCAGCTGTTGCTATGAACTTTGAGGACATCCAGAGGGCCGCACTACTCGAGATGTCCCAGCACGGCGGCCCTCTTTCACCGCCAGAGATGGCAGGCGACGCCATGCTGGGTCTAGGTCTGGGCCCGGAACACGCCATGAGGCTCGCCGGGAAGCATGGCAACAACGGCAACGGGAACAGGGTGCTCCCGACGCCACCATCGAGCCGCGGCTCAAGTCGCTCACCAACGCGATTCAATCACCCATATGGTATTAGTCAACAACCACACGGGAAGCCGACAGCGGAGATGCTACTATCCAAGCTTAATCGGCCTCGTGGTGCATCGCTCACCCGAGGGGGACCACCCTCGGGTCCCAATTCACCCGCTCCTTACCCTGTAATCGGCTCTCACTCTCCGCCACTCAATCATCCCGTCGACGCGCAAAGCGCCCTGAGCTCCATGATGAGCCGCCTCAACACCAGACCTCGCAGCGGCTCCGCTGCCATGTCTTCAACCAGCCATCACCACCAGGCCATGGGCGGCGGGCTGGTACGCTCGAGATCTACCATGAGCATGGGCAGCGCTGGAGCCATGGGAGGCAGTAGGGCAGCGGCGGGCCATGTGCCACAGAGATCCACGAGCTCCCTCCGGGCGCTGAAGCTCAGGAGCGTGATGGAGCAGAGAGAAGAAAGGGTCGCGCCTACGTTTTGACGTGGTTCGTTGTGTGTTTTGGGTTCGGATGTTTTTGTGACGAGGTGTATGTAATGAATCTCGTCTCCGGGTCCTGTTTCCCGTCGGTCACCGACAATGGGATGAACGGGCGTTCCTGTGGGTCTGTCTGTCTGGTCGCGCGACGACCACACCGACGAGAACGATGGGTGCTTGGCGAACTTGGCGCGCCCCGTGTCCGTCACAAGCCGTGGATCCGATGTTTTCTGGGTCTACGGTCGTACCTGAAGGGTATTGTGTTGTGTGTTATCCTTCCAATGTCCATGTTATGCGATTTGCGTTTATTTGTTGATGCCTGGGGACCCAGATCCCAGAGGCCCCCGGACAGAAAAAACAGAAGGAAGACCTGATTGAGATGTCTAATAGTGGGGTGGAAGCACACTGTCCTATGAACACGACTCGAAAAGATCAATCATCGTATTGAGTAGAGAAATTTCTCAAAATTTAATAAAGCTATATCTAAAATGCAAACGAGATAGCATACAAAGTTAATGACTTTGAGAGTAAAACAAATAAGTGGTGAAGATGCACTTTATGATGAAGTAATTCGCAAAAAAACCCGTGGTATTGATGTTAGTTGTACACAATCTTTCTCTGACGCCTTTACCACATTCCCCCTCTTGTTTGTCTAAACCCTAGATAGAGAGAGTGAAACCGTTGGATTTTTATTTATCCAATGCTTGTGATTGACACTATTGAAAATTAGCCTTTGGGAATACCAAAGAATGCCGGGCCGGGGATTCGGTGGGGGCAGGAAACAGGAAGAAGACTCACCATCTGGAAGTAAATGCCCTTCTCGGCAATCAAACTCGCGTGATCACCCCGCTCAACGACTTTACCGTCCTGCATGACGAAGATGACATCGGCATTCTGCACAGTCGCAAGCCTGTGAGCGACCATGATCATCGTCCGGCTACCCTTGGTAGCGTCGAAGACGGCCTGGACGCCGCGTTCCGTCTCGCTGTCGAGCGCACTCGTCGCCTCGTCTAGCAACAACAGCGACGGTCGACGGATGAGCGCTCTTGCGATGGAGACACGCTGCTTCTGACCTCCGGAGAGCGTCACGCCCGCATTGCCGACCTGGGTGTTGTAGCCCTCGGGTAACGAGATGATGAAGTCGTGGATACCCGCGTCGCGTGCCGCGGCATGAACGGCCTCGTCTGACACAGCATCCTCATCCTCGACACCGAGCAAGATATTCTCACGAATGGAACCGGTGAAGAGGTTGGGCTCCTGGGAGACGAGCGAGATGTTCTTGCGGTAGTTTACGAGGTCGAGCGTCTTGATGTCGTGTCCGTTGTAGAGAATCTCGCCGCCGGCCTGGAGGGTGTAGAAGCGCTCGAGGAGGGAAATGATTGTCGTCTTGCCGGAGCCCGAGGGACCGACGATGGCGGCGAACTGGCCACGCTCGATTCTCAGATCCAGGCCCTTGAGGACGGGGAGCGTTCTGGTGGGGTAGCTGAACCAGACATCCTTGAACTCGATCTCGACACCCTTTTCGTAGTGGATTTCGTAGGGGACGATGTCGCTGACGCCCTTTTGGGGCTGGTTGTCGTCGTCTTCGTTCTCGCGGAGGGCTAGGATGCGGTCGGCTGCGGTCTTTGCTTTTGCGATGTCTATTTGACTGTCAGCTGCGTTTATGCTTGCAAAGTAGCGAGAGACGTACTGGGACCAAAGCTGAGCCATTGGCCGGCGCTCATGCCACCTTGAACAACTGCAATGTACACGACCACTATGGATTGTCAGTAAATGGTTGACTATGCTAAGTCGTCGATACTTACTGTATTGGAAGGGCGTGTACTCGTGCCTAGAAAGCAGCTTGCCACCGTACCTAAAAAGAGTCAGTGTCAAAGGTCGTAAGCTGTACCCAGTATCACTCACCAAAGCACGAAAGCCATGCAAAGCAACGAAATACTGTCGCTGAAAGAAAAGACCATGACGGAAAAGCGAGATTTGCGGAAAGCGTCCTTAATGTGATCACTGAGCAACGTATCGTAGCGGTCGCAGATTCCTTCCTCCATCGTAAGACTAGAGACGGTGCGAATCGCGCTGATACTCTCAGACGCAAACTTGGCGCTCTCGGCGAAGACGGCATTGTTGGCGGTCTCAAAGCTGGTCTCGTGCCTCACTCGGTAGAACATAGCTGCCACAATGATGGGCATGGATGTGCCGAGGGCGACGAGGGTCAATTTCCAGCCAAAGACGAGACCGACGACGACGCAGCCAATGACGTTGAAGAGCGAGATGAGGACGAAGGCCATGTTTGTTCCCAGGAGCTGCTGCAGCATGGTGGGATCGGTGGCGAGGCGGGCGGTCAGGGAACCGGCGGAGTTGCCCTCGGCATCGAAGAACGATGAAGGCTTGTAGATGATGTTGCGGAAGTACTCCTTGCGGTATACGCGGACGATACCCTGGTGCACTGTTAGACAAGTTTCAAACAGGAATGAACGAGTAACTTACGAAGCCGATGGTGGTGGTAGCCCAGCCAAGCAGAAAATGACTGACTCCCACACCTGTGGCAAGGTACATGAACATCTCACACCAATGGTTCGCGATGACCCTCAGGAAGTTGCCCCAGTATGAGAAGAGTGAGACCAGAACCGCAAACAGGTAGGCTTGGACGGGAGTACTCGCTGTAGATAATGTCAGTATTCCGACTCTAGCCAGACGGGGGTAAATGGGTTTGGAAGGGTGCTTACCTCCAGCACCGAGTGCCGCAAACGCAATGATGATGTAGGTCTTCCATCTCTTCTTCTGCTCACCGAGCAACTGACCAAAGCTTCCGAACATGTGGAAAGCCCTCCATCGACCCAGGCATCCTCTCGGCTCCTTGACAACCCTCAAGCTACCGGCTTCGATGCGCTCGAGTTCCTCATCGGACCCATTGATCTCGTGAAGGTGCTGAAGCATGCCAGTGGAAGTACCCTCGCTGCTGGGTCGCTTCTCAGTGAGATCACCGGTACTGCTGCCTCCCTGAAGCGACTTGTGAACAGAAAGACGCTCTGGCTCAGGCCGTCTCCAGCTGAGGTCGCCAAACAGAACGTCCTCTTCCTCCTCGACCCCCATATCAAGCTTCTGTGCAGTGGCCAGCAGGTGATAGGGACCGTCGACTTGGGCCATGAGCTCTTCGTGCGTACCCTGTTGGACGACCTGGCCCTTGCGAAGGAGGATGATGTTGTCGGCCTTCTTGATGGTTCCAAGACGATGGGCAATGATGATGGTTGTGCGTCCCTTACACGCGCGATCGAGAGCGGCCTGCACGATCTGTTCGCTGCGGACATCGATGGCGGAGGTGGCCTCGTCGAGGATAAGGATCTTGGGCTGCTTGACGATGGCACGGGCAATTGCGAGACGCTGGCGCTGGCCACCACTAAGCTTGATACCGGCATCACCAACTTCGGTTTGGTATCCCTGGGGTGTGTTAGCATCCTGAAAATCTCATGCGAGAGCCATTCGGAAAGCTGTACCTCTGGCAAGCGTGAGATGAATTCGTCGGCATAGGCATCCTTGCACGCCTCCTCAATCAACCTTGCCTTGACTGCCTGAGACTTGTGCTCCCATTCAGTTCCGATGAGACCGTATTCGACATTCTTGAAAATGGTGGTGTTGAAGAGGGCGTTGTCTTGCTGGACCAAGCCGATTTGGCTACGCCACCACTTGGGATCGATCTCGCTCAGTAAACGGCCGCCGACACTGATAATACCGTTGCGGAGCCAGAGAACCTAGCAATGGTGTCAATTACCGTCGGCAGAGTTGAGCTGCAAGTGATAGATAACTTACCAGCTGGTTGGTCTGCATGTCACCATTGAATTCGTACCATCTCTCCAAGATTCCGACGATTGTACTCTTTCCAGACCCTGACGGGCCCACGATGGCTGTGACTTTACCGGCTGGGAACTTGAGGAACAGGTTGTCCAGAATCTTCACATCGGGACGCTTAGGGTACACGAAGTTGACAGCCTGGAAGACAATATCTTCGGCGGCTGAGACTTCGGGCGCCTTGAGCGTTCCGTACGTGGCCTTAGGAGCATCGATGATGGTGTGGAAGATGGCGTTGGCATCGGCGGCCTGCGATGCGGACTGCAGTGGCGCGGTAATCTGACCTAAGGAAGATGCCATCATCATGATGCAGAGCAGAACACTATATTTCGGATGAGTTAATCGAGGTTGGTCCTGTGAGATGAGGATTACTTACACGATCAAGGATGTGGGAGTCGTCAGAGCCATCATGGTGTACATCTGGAAAGCGTACCAAAATGACAGGGCAAAGGTTCTAAAAGAGTTAGCTGACGAGCCGAAATGTATGTTGGATCACATCCTTACGCGTAGATGGCGAAGAAAACTTTGAAATGTCAGCATGGAGCAACTCTATCAACGAAATCGTGGCAACTCACTTAGTCCTTGCTGGATCGCAATGAGCCAAGCCATACCAGCACCCCTCTTCCTTGATTGATCCGCCAAAAGTCCGTACTTTGCAAGCAGCTTGAACTCAGCGCCACACGCAGCGAGCATTCGGATTGAGCTGAACGCCTCGGTCGCGACGGAGGCGGCCTGGATATCCATGTCCTGGACATCCTTCAGCCTCTTGATGATTGGCGGCGTGGTGATGGCGTAGACGATGGCGATGAAAACCAGTCCGGAGCTCGTCGTGAGCGTGAGAAGCCAGTTGTAGGCGAAGGCAATGGTGAAACCAGCAATAACGACAGCAAGACTGGAAAAGAACTGTCCCATCTTCTCGGAAATACCCAGCTGCAAGATACTGGCCGTGATGGTGATGATGGCGGCTGTCTGACCAGGCGCCAGCATGTCCAGCATTGAGATTGGGAGACCAAACAAGCATCGCAGATAATGCAAGCGGATCTTCGCTGAGATGCGAAGACTCGTCATGCGAAAGCCGAGCTGGTCATGTGTCAGTTGATGTAAAGCCCATGTATTTGTGGTACTCACATTGGAGAGGTACGTCAAGATGAGTCTGGCAATGA